CCCCCCCTCCCCCCCCCCCCCAAAAAATTCTTTTCCCCTCCCCCTCCCCCCTCCAATCCTCCTCTACTTTTACTCTATAATAGGTGGGTTTGAGAATCAAACCACCTATTTATCATCATGGATGGGGATCTCAGTCTCTCCCAGTCTTTGGGAGGACTACGCATTGCCAACCCTGATGATGCTTCGTTACATTCGTCTGAAGATGCATCAACACCTGCCGCCGGCGCTGCTTCAATAGCAGACTCCGACGTGGTACGCGATCCCGCAACCTCCGAACGGCCAGAAAGTGCCTCCTCTACCTATCTTCCCCGACCGTCAGCACCTCCTTCGAGCTCCGAAGTCCAAGAAGCCCTCGCCGCGGTACAAGTCGAGCCCTCAACGAGGACCTTCGAGAGTCGGAGCTCGGTATACAGCCCATACTCCTCAGACCCTGCACAGCCGCAACCCTCGCAACCTTCACAAGCGACGCCTCAATACTCCCCCTATATGCCTTCGCAGCAACCCAACCCCGGTCCGCAGTCCTCCCGTCCACTCTCCTCATTCTACGCGAACGGGTCCACCTCCACTCTGGCAGCTCGCGAAGGCTCATATCGAATTCGGACCGATTCCGCCGCGTCTTCCGCCTCTGAAAGTCTGGCTCGGGCAGAGTCTCGCGGAGGCTCTGCGGCCTACCAAGCGGGTGTCCCCATACGCGATAACAATCACAACGATCGGTCGTACCGCACGGCACAATTACCCCCCGGAAATGGACCAATGGTCATGCGTCAACCCTCTCGCGCCCACAGGGGTCCGTCGACTGGTTCCCCGTATGCCATGGAGAATGGTCCCAGCTCGAGCAGTGAAGATTGGCAAGATCGGGGTGCGGCTGTTGCTGTACGGCAGGAAATTGACGCCAACGGTAAACCGGTCGCGCGTTATATTAAAAAGGGGGTCCGCGATTTCTCGTTCGCTCATACGCTCGGAGAAGGCTCGTACAGTACCGTCGTATTGGGCACGGACCGTCAGACACTCAAGGAATACGCAATCAAGATTTTGGACAAGCGACACATCATCAAGGAGAAGAAGGTCAAGTATGTCAACATCGAGAAGGACACTCTCAACCGACTTACCGAACACCCGGGTATTGTTCGGTTGTATTACACGTTTCAGGACGAACGGTCCCTATACTTCGTCTTGGATCTCTGCAAGGGAGGCGAGTTGCTGGGGGTATTGAAACGCATGACTACTTTCGACGAAGAATGCACGAGGTTCTACGGTGCCCAGATACTAGACACGATCGACTATATGCACAGACGTGGCGTCATTCACCGAGACTTAAAACCGGAGAATGTTTTACTGGACGGTCAGATGCACATCAAAATCACCGACTTCGGAACGGCCAAGATTTTCAAAAGTCAACGGAAACCGAGCCCGAACTCCAGTGGGATGCCTCCACTCGATGCGACCGAAATCCCCGAGGATGAACGCGCGAGCTCTTTTGTTGGCACCGCAGAGTATGTCAGCCCGGAGCTCCTGACAGACAAGAATGCATGCAAGGCAAGTGATCTGTGGGCTTTTGGCTGTATCATCTTCCAACTTCTCGCGGGGCGGCCTCCGTTTAAGGCTGGAAATGAGTACCAAACCTTCCAAAAGATCGTCGCGCTCGATTACGAGTTTCCTCCCGGGTTCCCTGCGATCGCTCGCGATTTAGTCGAACGCCTGCTGGTACTGGACCCGGCGCGTCGTTTGCCGATTGAGCACATCAAGAACCATGAATTCTTCCAGGGCATCACCTGGGGCCCGGATCTATGGAAGCGGAAGGCGCCTCGTCTCAAGGCGTACGTTCCGCCCCCGCGCGAACCCATTAAGCTCAACAACGGCGGCAATGGTGAGAGCTATCCCGCAAGCATCAATGCAGCCTCCGTAAGCAACAACGCTAGTCAACGGGTTGTTCCTCGACTAGTGACTGAACTCCCGCCGCCGAGTCAGCTGGACATCGAATGGTCGCCCGTACTGACGAAAACCAATGAACGGATCCTCAAACTCGGCAACCTGGTCGTTTTGTCTTCTCCCGCTGCCCACAGTCCAGTCTCAAAGAATGGCGGTGAATACGAAGCGCCTCGGAAATTCTCGCGATTCTTCGGTGGCAGCACGACCAAGAAGCGGCAGCGCCTAGTCATGGTGACCTCCTCTGGCCGGATCATCATGGCAGCATCTGGCGGCGATGAGAAGAAAGCGAAGTTGGAATTATCTCTTCTTACTCCGGGCACGACATATCGGATCTCAACAGACGCCAAGGGGACCTCTTGTTGGGTAGTGGATACGGTAAGTGCAATCTCTCAGTGAAGATGGGTCTGGTCTCTAACCCAAACGTCTAGCGTGACAAACATTATGTCTTTGAGGATCCCAAGCCGTCATCTGGTAGCGTAGGGACGACCGCCATGTCCACTCAGGAGTGGTTGGATACTCTGGACCGAGCCAAGGAGATGGCTCTGTCACAACAGGGGAACGGCTCATATTCAGATGACGCCTTCCGCGACCTGTCATCCGGCTTGTCTAGCCATGCTAATACGTTGGACCGGAGCTCAGAACTCCAGCAAGAAAGCGCACCCACGGGCCGTGCCACTTTGGTCAAACAACCACCAACCGATACGGACTCGGTTAAAGGGAAGAAGCGATTCAGCCGACGCCATTCGAAGAACGGCCTTGCGGCGGTCTTCTAGGCCCCTCTCACATACCCTTCTATCACTCAAACTTCATTCCTCGATCTCTTCTCCATCACTTTCTCTCCATTTCCTGAAAAGCTGGGATGCTGTCCACTGCGCAGGATCGCATACATAACTCTCCTCTTGTCTTTGGAACATAACTCGTGCGTGTGTTTTGCTTGATATCCCTGAGTGTTTCCCGCAGCTGCGATTGGCAATTCTGTTTCTCTTTGCTACTACTTAGCAGGTCTTGCTTTGGGCTATTGTTTATCGCGGGAGACCCAGTCATACACTCTAGCCAGCGACTCGTCGATTTTCCTTTGTTTGCATCTCGTGTAAGAATTGTGATGGGGTCTCATTTGTGTGTGACTTTTTGCCCTGCATCTTTGCAATGATGAGCGTTGTTTTTCTTCTTTCTCTTGTTGAGATTGTTGCATTTAGATGGGAAGGAGTATGCATATATATCCCTCATCTGGCCCGGTTACCACTTTCGATCGCATCAATCTATTTTGCGCGATACTTCCTTTATTTCATTCTGATATATATCCTTTGGACCTGGTGAGATCCAGGGTCTTGAGATCAATGGATCTTGATTGTTGGTGGGAGAGACGAGAGAGAAAGACAGTGCCATAGAGTGCACCTTCTCGCTGGGAGTTATCAAATTAAATTTCTAATCTCTTTTCATCTTGTTCAAGGGGTTTTGTTGTTGATCAGCGACAGGATCCGGTGTTGGCTCGGGGCTTACTTAGGTTTCTTTTCTTTCTGGTTTCACTTTCGCCCGCCCCCTTTACTCTGTGATCACCCATATTCCCAGGGCTATCAAAACCCCCTCTCCATATTTAAGACGGAGAATTCGATAATAGTACCTTCAAATGCAAATACATTTCAAATCTCGGATGTAATAATTTATGCATCCGAGACGCCGCTATCGTATGTACAAGGCTTGTGTCAAATATGCTCCCCTTCCTTGTCGATTCCAGACTAAAGGATAGTTATGAACAGCTGGTGAGTAGACTGTCAGGTATATCCACCGGTAGGTAGGTAGGTAGGTAGGTAGGTAGGTAGGTGGATTTCCTCTCGAGACCCAAGCCGATCAGCGTTCCCTTTTTTGCCCCGAAACACCACCCATCCGATACATGCAGTACAGTAAAATACTCTGAGGTTACTGAACCGCCCATACCAAGAGCACGAGCAAGAGCCAGAGCCAGAGCTTAGATGAACAACCAGTCAATCCGGGAAGCATCCAGCTCCTGGATCCAATCGAAATCGCCATCATCGTCGTCGTCGTCTTCGTCGTCATCAACATCTTCTTCGTCATTATAAACATTATCGTGATCATTAGTACCGGTATTAGGATTAGTAGTGAAAGGATTCGTCGGATCCGGCGCATTCGCCTCAGATGCCCAGAAATTGGCCGAAAAGGAGTCGGCCTGCTGCTGGCGCTGCTGCCGCCGCCGCAGATTCTTCCGCTGGCGCCGCTCCTCGACCCTCTGATCGCGCTTGCGCCACATCAGACTCAGCACCCAGGCGGCGTTGCGCACGTTGACGCTCGTGATATCGTAGTACAGGGCGCGGAGCTTGTCGAGCAGGAACGGGCGGAGGGCGGGGTCGGCGCACTCGGCGCCGGCGATGAAGGTGGGCCAGATCAGGCACTTGAAGTGCGGGTCGGCGACGGGGATGAGGGCGATCTGGCGGATGAGGAGGTCGGTGACGGCCCCGTGGTCAGCGGGGAGGCCGAAGTGGCGGGGCGGACTTGATGGATTCGCCGCCAGGCGCGGGCGGGAGAGGGCGCGGCTGGCGTAGAGGTAGACGGCGGCTTGGTAGACGGTGGCGAGGGCGGTGCGCATGGAGAGGTCCGGGAGGTGGAGGAAGCTTTGCATGGATTCCGCCCAGGCGGCGGGGTCGAAGGCTTGGATGTGGGCGAGAAGGGCGGCGGGAGATTGAAGCGGGTTGGCATGGGCGGAGAGGTGGGGGGAGGTGAAGACCATTTGGGGGAGATGGGGTGGGGAGGAGGGTTGATTGTTGTCGTGAGGTCCCTGGGAGTCATCGTGTTCCATGTAGAGACCCGCGTGGATGAGAAAGATCACTTCAAGGAGGTAGCCGGGGCAGCCGACCCAGGAGGTCTCTTCGAGTCGCTTGAGGACCGCCGGGCCCATGTTCGAGGTGTAGAAGGGTCGCGTGAGGGAGCCGGGGCGGGCGAGCGTTGAGCCCATGAGTTGGATACTGGACAGAATTAGATGAGAGTAGGAGAAGGGGTAGCGGAGATTTAGTGTCGACATACATGAGGATGCCATCTATCGCAAAGTCATCTAACCAGGAGAAGAGCCTCTGGGTTGCTGGGCCATCTGGGTGAATCCCTTCTTGGCGACCTTTCAGGAGTTTCTTAGCCCCTTCCAGATGGTACTTCCAGGCTCCGTCGCCGGATTCAATCGCATCCATTAGTGCAAGTAACATGATCGCGGCCAGCGTTCGGTTGTCATGGCGCATGACGGGATCCTGGATGTCTTGCGACAATCGCTGCAGTGCACGCTGTTTGAACCCGAGGAAATGTTCGTATACTTTCGAGGCCGGTCGGCGCGACAGGGATCCGATCACGGCCTTCTCTACGTCCTCCGATGAGAGTAATGTTCCTGCGGCTGCATTTTCCACGCTCCAGGGTCCCGGAGAAAAATCTTCATTGGCTAGAATGGCGTAGTGTAAAGCACCCAGGGCTGAAAGCACGTGGGCGAGTAGGGAGGAGTCGCCAACTAAGGGAGTCAAGTCGCGGAACGGGTTCTGGCCGTTCGAATACAGTGTAAGATAATTGGCAAGATACTGGTTGACTTTGACATCGGGTCAGCATGAGCCTGGGATCCAAGGAGTGTTCATCACGTACAGTGGATGATGTACTGTCTGGAAAAGCTGTCCAAATCCTTGAACAAAGGATCCACCAGACCCCAGGGCGCAGGGACCGAGTCAAGAAGCTGAGGGCTGCGTTGAATTACGAGGCTCTGATCGTAATCTTCAGCGCCGGTCATTGCTAGGTCGTTGGATTCGTGCGGCAGCTCAAAGCTAATGGTGTCGCGCGGAAGTGCAGGGCCGATTGTGTCCGGTGACGCTGTCGAAGCTGGTGAAGAAGAGCTGGAGTCATTGCCCTGTCTTGCACTCGAAGCACTCTTCACAACATCGTCGTAACTGCGACCCATCATTTTACCCCGACTGGCAACGCCGCCCTTTACCCAGACGAGGGGCTTCTGATAGCCCAGACATTCCTTCCCCGCATCGCGACACTTGCGACAGGTGGGCAACCCATTGTCGCACACAATCCGGCGACGGCGACAAGTATAGCAGCCTTTGGTCATTGTTCCCCTTCAAGCGTGTGCATGTAAGGCTGTGCGCAGTCGACGTTGGTCACTGAATTGGTGTAGCGGGGTGAGACAGGTCCGTGGTGGAAGAACGGAGTACTGTACTCGAAAAGGCAATCTGGAAACAACGCTCGACATCATTGAAAATCGATATCAAGGATGGAAGACTGGAGTTAGAAGCATTGCCTGTGAGTAAGTGAAACACCCGGTGGTATGATTCGCATGATTCGTATGATTCATCGTAAGTGACAGAAGTTGAGTTCGGAGGAAGAGCGGCGAGACTCGAGAAGCCCAGAGAAAGGTGCCATCCATTCATTGATTGGCGGAGGGCATCTGACTCAATGGATTGAAGACAGCTAGCCGGATCAGGCTAGGCTGCAGCGGGAATCCAGCGGCAGAGGCACAAACAAGCCAAACAATCTAAACACGGTGGACCAAACAAACAACATTCTTATTCTGGGTCTCTCTCTATATTGTAGTTGGAATGCTAAGGTCAAAACAAGAAGAGGAAGACTAGGGGCATTATAATGTAGCGAAGCCAGGGGAATCGAGGGGTTGAATCTTAGAAGAAGGGTCACATGGATGAGCAATGAGCGATAGAATAGATTATACTAACTAAGTACTCATAATACTCCGTAGCGATGCAGCCACCCACCCGTGATCCCCAGCCAACCAAACCCACCAGCCAATCCGGTCAACAACCGTCCCATTTCCCTGCCTCTCGCACTTTCAGTCCTTCACTTTGGCTTCACTTTCACCTTCACCTTCAGGGGAAGCTGCCAATTTCGGCCTGGGATTATGAGCCTTGGCAACTGGTAGCAACAAGGACTTTTGTCTATCTGTCTGTTGACTTACAATGCACCTGTCCCCCGTCAGACCTAATCTTATGTTATCTGTCGATTCAGATCTATTCATTTCACCCTCACCTGCAGCAGCGGCTACACCGTGCGCGCTCCGGCTGCCTTCCCCTGTCGCATGAAGTGGACTGGCTTTGAGTCTCGCTCAGAGTGAATCACTTTCTTCCAAAGACTTGTTGCTTTTCGTCCTCCCATCGTACCCTACATTCTAGTCTTTATCTCCCTAGAAATTATATCCCGGAGGTGGTCCGTGTGGTTATCGCGATCGCGGGGGATCAACAACGGTAAACCCGCCGCCACTCGCAGACCTTCGCAGCCACATCCCTTTTGGTCGGTCAAATCGGTGATTGTCGCGCGTCGCTCAGCATTCCCCTCGCATTCGAGAAACCCTCCCTAGTCGGTGCGCGTGTCGTTGGTCCTTGAATGACACGGCCGCCGCTCGAGAGTTGGGATCTGCTTGGTCACTGCGCGGTTCGCTCAGACGATGTTTACCAGGTCCTCCAAAGCCACCTCCACGGTCACCTCCATCGACATGGTCTCTCAGGCTCAAGTTCTCGATCGCTCCGTACCGGCGCAAAGCACGCTCTCCTCCACGTCCCGCCATTCGCATTCCAGCCGACGACATCGCTCCAGTCGCTCTCACCATGGCGGTCTGACCCATCAACCCCAGAACGAATTCCCCATTTTCACTCATACCGGCGATGTGGAGATCGTGATCCGCGCGGGGGCACAGGAGCAACGCTACCTTCTGCACCGGCTCATACTGACGCAGTGCTCTGGCTTTTTCGAAGCAAGCACTCGGGATGGGTGGTCACCGCAAGCCCCCCCTCGGCCATCCAATCCAGACCCAGGGGTCCTGTCCAGAATCAGTGAGGACACCTCTTCGCTGTCCAACGGCTCAACCCTGGCGCAATCGGAGAGCGGGGGGTCGTCCTGGTCTCCGGAGAAACGACGCTGGAAATATGAGCTTGACTGGGAAAACAAGGCTGAGGATGAGGAGCCTATCCTCGTACAAAAGGTATGTATGCCGCTTTTTCACATTGCAGCTGACTTTGGCTGATCTACTGTCAAGCCGCCGAGCTACTCCAGCGCTTTTGGCTGCGAACCCGGGCAGTATCCTCCATCAGTGACGAAACCATCGAACACGCAGACGGGCTTTGTCCGATCGATGGCCAATCTGGCCGGGATGCAGTCGGCCGTGATTCTACCGCACAGAAACAGCTCTTCCAACCCGCCAGTGGACCCCATCATCCGTGACTACGACAACCTGTTCCGGATGTTCTACAACTACCCGCCGACGGTCAACAGCGTCAACATCGCGACCGCCTACTCCGAGTGCCGTGCGCTGCTCTCCCTGGCGGACATGTACGATGCGCTCCCCGTCACCGGACCACGGGTGGACCATCATCTGCTGGGCTTCGGATCGCGGCTCTTCAAGCAAATCGCCAAGTATCCTCCCAGCTACCTCAAGCTGGGCTACATGGCGCGGAGTCGCGTCATCTTCTCCGAGGCACTGATCCACGTCGTCGGCCAGTGGCCGGCGGCTGTGCCGCACCTGCGCAATGGCAGCTACTCGCCGCTCCCGAACGCGGTCCTGGACATCATCGAAGACAAGGTCGAAGACCTCGAAGACCTGAAGGCGCGCGTCGACTCCAAGCTGCTCCGACTCACCCTGACCACCTCGCGCGGCGAGCGCGTCAGCCCGACCAACGCCTACCTCGACTGGCTGGCCGTCTCTTTATTTCGACAGTGGTTCGTCGACAGCACCACTCCGCCCCCGCCGCCGATCCTCAAAAACACCTCGACGAATCCGAGCAGCCATCACCACAGTCACAGCCACAGTCACAGCCATGGTAGCCACCATCGATCCACCGCCAACCTCCCCTCGTCATCCTCGTCATCCTCCTCCCCGCCATACTCCCCCGCGCGCGTCTACCGCCTCATCGGCTCCCCCTCCACCCAAGCCTACCTGCCGCACGACGACCTCAAACGCTTCCTCAAAGTCCACCCCACTCCCTCCGCAGAAGCCCTCTACAACCGCGACGTGATGAAACGGTTCGAGCGCAAGATGGACGAAATCAAACGGCTGGCCCGCGAGATCGTCAAGCCCCTGATGCGGAATTTTCTGGAGCTGGACCTGAAAGACAGCAGCGGCAGCGGCAGTACTGGTCACAGCAGTGAGGGCAGCGGACTACCGTACCTGACCTGCACCAAGGTCGAAGACGAGGATATCCCATGGGAGTAATCCACCAATCACACCCAGGGCAACAAACCCGACACGCGATAACGACCCCACAGCTTCACTTGTCTACGTGAGAAGCTCCCCCCCCCCCGCCCCAATTTACACATGCTTTACTTCCCATTGGTTTTGGTTGCTTTCGATACCCGGTTCATGAATATAGTTTTTTTACGGTTGATGGTTGATGGTTGATGGTTGATGGGTTAACGATATACACGGATATGAGGTTTACGTCTACTGATTTTGGCTTTCTTTTCCTGCTGCTTTCTTCAAATCTTTGATCCTTTTTTTTTAATGTGGTGATGGATTCCTGTTCAAGTTCTTTTCTTCCTTACTCATGCAATGATGATGCCACCCACTTGTCAGAACCCCATTAGTCCTAGTCACTAGTCCTAGTAAATGTGTTATGAAGTTATGATTGCAAATGCAAAATACGGGGTTCCTTTTCCTCTTGTTGTCTTCGGGCTTTTTGCCTCAAGCTTGGATTAGTCTTACCTCCTGTTAAAATGATTTTGGGCACTAGCTGAGTCGATGATATGGGGATGGTAAAGGAGAGAGAAAGAGAATGGGGACGAGTTAGTACCATACCCATTCCATTACATCATGATTCGAGTTGATGCACCCGAGCTCAAGATCATGGATTGGGTGGGTAGTAGCCATGTAGGACCACTTGTTACGTCGTAACTTGCGTGGACCGTAGCAGGAAGACTCCTTGTCTGAGCTACATGTGTAAGGTATACGATGCGATACGACTGGAACTGGCTGAGTGGGACACGCACGCACTCGTCGAAGCTTCATTTATCGTACATTGTGATGTCATCTACATGGGACATGGAACTCCTTCCTGTGTAGCCATGCAAGAGGAGAGAAAGAGAGAGAGAGAGAAGGGATCCTCACAATACACATAGACCTACACATAACATAATCATACATTCACCTGTATTTCGCCAGATTCTCACTGCACAGATCTCAGAGCCATATCATGAACCGAGACATCACTTCTGCTTCCCGATGACCTCGATCCCGCCCATCCACCCCCTCAACACCTCCGGCACAACCACCACCTCCCGCTTGGGGTCCCAGCCATGCTCCAGGATCGCCGCCAACACGCGGGGGACGGCCATGGCCGTGCCGTTGACGGTGTGCGCGAACCGCGTGGGGGCCTTGTTCTTCTGGGCCTTGCCGTCGCGCACCCGGGTCGCGAGGCGGCGGCTCTGGTAGTCCGTGCAGATCGAGGCGGAGGTGACCTCGCCCCAGGCGGATTCGAGCGATGCGGTTGCATCGTTGCCATCGACAGTCCCCTCGGTGGGGGCCGCACTGCGCAGCCGCGAGGGGAACAGGACCTCGATGTCGCGCTTGCGGCTGGCGCTGGCGCCCAGATCGAAGGTCGGCATCTCCAGGACGCGGGCGGGCAGGCCCAGGGATTGCAGGATTTCGGTCTGGATGGTCAGCAGCTCGGTGAAGAGGTCGTCCGATGAAGACGACCCGTCGGCGACGATCGAGTCGGCCCACGCGAACATCTCGACCTTGGTGAATTCGTGGACGCGGTACAGGCCCTTGGTGTCGACGCCGCGGGAGCCGGCCTCGGCGCGATAGCAGCGGCTGGGGCCGACCAATTTCAGCGGGAGATCGGCGGAGTCGAAGGTGCGGCCGGCGTGCATGGCGGCGAGCGGGATTTCGGCGGTGCCGGCGAGGGCGCGCTGGGGTTTCGCGCCGTTGTCCTTGTCCTTGTCGGCTTGCTCGAGGGTGAAGATCTGCTGCTCGTTGTGCTGGTCGCGGGGCTGGAAGCCGCACGCGTCGGCGATGTGCGAGTAAACGATTGAGGGCGGGGAGACCGGCTTCCAGCCGTGGCGGCGCGCCACGGTCAGCGCGTACTGGATGAGGGCCTGCTCTAGGAGCGCGCCCTCGTTGGTGAGGAAGTACCAGCCCCAGCCGGTGGTGGTGGCCGAGCTGGTGAAGTCCAGGAGGCCCAACGTGGTGCCGATATGGACGTGCGACCGCGTCGGGTCGGGTTTGGAGGCCCAGTCGGGCAGCGGGGAGACCGGGTCGAAGTTGAGGTAGGAGATGAGGGTCGGGGCGTCGCCAATGGGCGTGTCGGCCGAGGACAGGTTGGGCAGGGAGAGCGCCAGGCGCTGCATTTCTTCATCGCAGGTCTGCTGCCGCGTGAGCTGGGCCTGGGATTCGCTTCTCAGGCGGGTCGCTTCGGCGCGCAATTGGGAGATGCTTGGTTCGGTGGGGGTGGCATCGTCCGGGTTCTTTGCTTGAGCAGCGGCGATCTCCGCGATGGCTTTCTCGAGTTTCTTGATCTGGGACCGGGGGTTGCGGAGGTTGACATCGATCTCGCCGATCTCGTCGTACAACTGCTGGATGGTGGAGGGGTATTGCGCGTGGGCTGGGTAGTTGCGGTCGCGACAGTTCTGGGCGTATAGCTCGGGGTTTTTGCGGATGTGCTTCACGTCGGGGGTGGGTTTGGGCGCGGTCGGCGGTCGGACAAGCTGGGAGCGGCGGCGGGCGGAGGAGGAGAAGGTGCGGCGAGTGAGGGCTCTGCAGCCTAGGCAGATATAGGGGGGATTTGGCGGAGGCATTGAGAGGGTTGTGTGGATTGAGGTTGAAGAGGCAGCAGAGGAGGAAGAGCGGAAGAGAGCAGGAGATTATTGATGGGTTGATGAATTGACAATGAGCGGAGCAGACAGCAGGGACGGACCCGCACCACCTTTCCCGATCGGGTATTTACACTATAAACACCTGCGCATATCTAGATAGCAGAGGAGCAAGGCTCTTCATTTGAAGTAATCATTCACTAGTAGGGACATGAATAACCCACCCATTGATAAGGTGGAAACATCTCTAGAAAAACCCAATCATGACATACATACATGCTATGCGGAGAGACAATCTGTACCACAATCATATCACATCCCAAGCCACTCACTCATATAGCCCTCACCATCACCCCCACGCACCAAACCAAACCAACTATACCATACCCCTCCTCCTCTCCCCCTCCAAACCCATATTGTATTCCCCCGAGGTCTTCACCCCTAAAACCCCAATTTATGCTTCCGAACCCTCGCCCCAACGCCCACCACCACCAAAACCGCCCCAATCAGCACCCCCCACAGCGGGATATCCAACACATTGAGGTTGTACGTCGTCTGCGTCGCCGCGGCCACCGTCGCCAGCTCCAGCCCCAGTAGCAGATACCCGGACTGGCGGTGGTACTTGTACAGGGTCTTGCCGCGGTCGACACTGCCCAACACCTGTCGGGGCAGGAAGTACTGCACCACGCCGCCGGCAGCCTGCAGGATGATCACGATGTAGGTGACCAGCCCCAGCACGCCGTGCGGGGAGGTAAAGCGGGCGTGATCGCCCTTGTTGATCTCGATGATGAGAAACGCGGCCAGGAAGCCCAGCACGCTCAGGGCTTGGATGGTGTAGTGGATGACGGTGCCGCGGCGTTTCTGGACGGCGGTGGCGGTGGGTTGGAGGATGAGGGTGGCCTGGATTTGGAGGAGGAGGGCGGCGGAGTTGAGGAGCTAACACGGTGGGGGGTTAGACGGATGGATGGATTAGATGGGGAATAGGAGGAAAGACTGACTGGGTGCGGGGAGAAGAAGATGAGAGGATGCGAGAGGATGCCGGTCCACACGAGGATGATGATCTGATTCAAGGTATTTGGTTAGGATCTTGGATCGTTCGATGGATGAGTGGGTGGATGTGGTGGGGTCTTACCAGCCAGATGCCTACTTGGGCAGCGAGGGCAGTACCTGGAAGTTCGAATGAGATTAAGTCAGTGGTTGTTCGTGATATATTTTGATGGCTGAATTACGCACCTCGGAAGAGGTTGGGATACAGAGAAGCATTGTCGTCGTCGGACTGAGGCCCATTGCCGGGAGTAGACAACAGGGGAGAGTCCTCGCGGGAATCGATGCTGTCAGGATGCAGCTGGGGGATGCCTGTGGCGGAGGCCATGAGGGCGTTGGAGTTGTTACAGTATGGCTCAAAGAATGAAACTCAGAAGTATAGGATATCGATCAATAATCGTGGTGGTGTTGGAAGTGGCCAATGGACAGGGGGTTATATGTCAGAGCGTCCGAAGCGAGCATGACGAATGTGGGGAGGAAAATGATGAATTGCTGCGGGGAAGATTGGAGTTAAGTTATACTATAAGCTACGTACTCTCATAGATAGACCGTAAACTTAATACAATTTCCAGTAAGCCAGTAACTAACTTACATAACCCCGAATTTCAATATCTCCGAAAGACTCCGATCCAGTCAAAGGCTCCGATTTGCTCAGCATCAGTCTATAACTTAGTTATCAGGTTGCCCTCCTCACCAGTTCTCGTATTGTTCTGGCATGTGTTCAACACAAAAAAAAGCAAGAAAAAAAAATCATTTCAATGAGATCTAAATCCAAGAAAACAAATATGTGAATAAATAAATTCCAGCTAAGTCAGAAAAAGCATAAGAGCAAATTCCGACTCCGGAAATTGCTTTGTCTGATTGAGAGATCTTGTGGAAGCTATTGAGATAAGAGAAGGACAAATCCTTATCTTACCGTACTGTACCTTACCTGAACAGTAATACAGTGCTACCACCATCACCACCACCACCATCTATCCCCCGTTGATTCTCAACCGGAGGCATCCACCGTTACTCGTCCGAGTCCTCTCCAGCATCCTCAGGCGCGGTGAAGTAGTCCGATGCTAGTCCAGAGCCCGGAGAGCAGGTGCCCTCGCTACGTGCTGCGCGAACAGCACGGGGGGCCTCGAGAGCCGCTCTGTCAGCCTGAACCGCATAGTCTCCATAGTGATAACCACCAGGTTGGTGAGTGGAGGAGGACTGGCAGCGAACGAGGCTTTTGGGTTGGACTCGAGGGGACCGCGTCTCGGCGTGTTTGGCGAAGTGCTCCGCCCAGGTGGCCTCCAGAGGCACGGTTTGAACGGGAGTCGCTTCATCATCGGTGCTTGTTGCAGCAGGATCAGGATTGGGATCCTGCGCCTCTTCGCCATTAGTAGTGACAGAGACTACCGCTTTCTTCGAAGCGCTGTTGGTCGCGCTCGCGACAGGTGCAAGACGAGCTGCGGGGTGTGGGGTGGATGGACGAGGTGGCAGAGCGTGAGGGTGTGGCGCGTGGGGGTGCTGGCCCTTTTTCTCTGCCTCCCACTGAATGTGAGCTTGTTCTTCGGACATTGTCAGTGTGGGTAAAACCTATCTGCAGTGGTCTCTGTTGGTGATCAGGGACGGTCAGTGGCAATGTATGGCGATGGGGAATGAGTGGTGTTCGATCTCTTGGTGAGATTGGTGTCTTTATATAGTTGCGAGTCGATCGGGAAATAACAACATTCACCGTCGAGTTCATAGTGTCCTCTGACAACTACATCAAAGAGTGTTCTCGAGTCTTATTGTGACAGCATTCGAGGCATTCAACTAAGCGAGATGCTCCACCATCAATCCTGCCTAATTCCAACACAAAGGATTCCGAAGCTAATATATTTGTTTCACGACATACCAGTGCCAGTTCCTCCTATCACCGCCATGGCAACTTGATCACCGAACTCTCCATTCCCGATCCAGGCTTGCCAAACACAACCTCCGCCCCCAGATTGCCTTCCTCCAACCGCATCACGATGTTGAACAACGTCGCCGTCCGGACAATCTTTGGTTGTGCTGGATCCTCCTGCCAGCAGATCGACTGCGGGCCGTCGCAGGTATCAGAGAAGATCTGACCGCGAAGCACCGTACCCGCAAGCTCAGCACCACCCCCCTCGAGGACTTTGCTGTCGACAATCTCTCTCGCCAGCTCACGCACCCGGGCCAACCGGACCGGCGACCCGGACAGCCACGGCGGCTCGATTACCCGCCGGTTGAGCAGGAAATGGTTCGTGTGGGTGACCATGCCGTACTCGTCCTCAGGGAGATGATCATCCCCAAGAGGGGAGAGCTCCAGCCCCAGGGCGACAGTAGGGTCCGCGATGAGAATGTGCTGGCTGGAGGCGACGCCGCCCAGGGAGGACAGTTTCTGGACCGCCGTGTCGACGGAGTCGCTCTCCAGACACAGGCGCAGGGCGATATGGATCGGCAGTTTGGAACTGAGACAGGGATGGGCGCGGATGGCGTTGAGGCAGACGCCCACGCCGGCGCTGTTAAAGCCGATCTTGCCGACGATGCCGGCCTGCTCATTTTCAGCATCTCATGACCAGCATAGGAGAGAAGACCCAAGGGAACTTACTTCAGTAACCATGTAAATGACTGGTTTGTCCGGTTGGATGATCTCGACCAGTGCGAGGTTGCCCTGTACTCGAGTGGTGAAATCCCAATTCTGGGCGAGGATGCGGCCCCGGTCCCGTCGGTGCAGCGCGAGACTCGAGCAGCCGTCGGCAAACTTGCCGAAGGAGATCTCGCTGCGACAGTTCAGGGCGACGATCTCCAGGAGTGTACGGCCCGCCCCGTCGGCGATGCCTTGCATCTCGGCCAGGAGGTCGGGGGTGGACCGCGCGATGGTGGCGCGGAATTCCTCGGCCAGGACGAGTACGTCATCCCACGACATCTTCGAGGTATGTTGGAACATGGCCTCGTAGACGGTGAGCTGATTTTTGATCTGGGAATAGAGTTGCTTGCCATGTTGCAGGCCGATCTGCGACGTCAGATGGAATGATTGATACTGAGGTACTGCATTAGCGACTTACTTCTCGCGGCGTGCCGCTGAGCACTATCCTGGGAGGTTCTTCTATCTCCACATGCATAGTGAGATTGTCGCGTCAAGCAGACTGATACAAAGGAGCAAAGAAGGGGAAGAGGGAGAAAGACGGTGCGACCTGCGCGGGGGAAGTTCTTATCAATCACTTGCTCCCGCATGGCCAAATGCGGGGAAAGCAAATCACGATAACCACTTTGAGCCAATATTTACATGCCTGCATACAACCTGGCTAATGATGAGTTCTTCATGAATTCACTTTCCCAACACCTCGCTTAAGGGTAGCCCATTTTCACAAACAGGATGACGATAATTCCAAAGCAGTATCAAATCGAGAACAGGCGAACAGCCTATCCTACTCTCTCTTTTAGTTCATCTCCAACACCCACGCCAGGCACCCATCCATACTGAGATCCACTCCACTGTTCTTTTAGCCATCTCTCATGTTCTCTCTATCAAGAAATTCTTTCTCTTCATCGAAACACACATTCTCTATCGAAACCCACACTCTCTCTATCAAGAACACACTCTCTATCAACACACACACTCTATCAAAACACACACTCTCTCCATCAAACTCACCCATCTGTCTCTCTTTTTTCCATCCAGAGAACTCACCAACCTTACCAATCATCCCATCACCAAGCCCCCCCCCCGGCGAAAATGACCAAACCCCACCCAACCCTCACCAAACAGCTCCAAACCACCCACGACGCCCTCCTCCGGATCCTTTACACCCACACCGACGCGCAGGGCATCTCGCACCGTCCCTACGGCCTCGACTGGATTGACTTCGAGCGCCTGATGTACCGACTGCTGCTCCTGCAGGGGCTGGCGCGGCCCGGCGACCGCATCGCCCACGACCCGTGGTTGCTGTTCCTGGACCGGTATGCGCCGCGCTCGGTGCGCCGCTCCCCGAGCGAGGCCGGCCGCGTGGAGGTCGCCTTCTTCCCGAGTTCGATTCTGCAGTCGCCTTCCTCCGGCTCTCCTCCCCGCTTGGTTTCTGGGAGTGTTGAGCAGGGTCGTCGCAGCGTCAATGGCTACATCAACGGCGACGGCTATACCGGCAGCAACGGCTACGCCCCCATCAACGGTGACAGCGCTGGACCACGTCCTCGGGTGGACTCCAACGGCCACGTGCACTTCGATCATACGGCTGTGCAGCGGGATCCGAGTCAGAGGCGGTCGCCTTCTATCCCTAGGTACTTTCAATGACTTTGCCCGTAAAAGGATAGGTGAGTTTGATACCCTTCATACATAACAATGAGTGTGTTGATAAGTGTGCAGATATCAATCAAAAAACTCTTAATGTTCACGCACACTTTACCATGTCAATATCTGTGTGTTCGTGATTGATAAAGCCATCGTCTTCCATTTCTTCTGGAAGAGAAAGAACAAGATGCGTGATGCATCTGGTGCTAGATATATGAGGAGGTGTTCTCTGGAGTTGGAGTCTGGGTTGGCTTTTGTTCTGGTTATGTGTACCGAGTGCTCCTTGATTTGTGGGGGGTTCTTTCTGCTGACGGAGGGTGGTTGTGTGCAGTGTACAGCATGCGTTTTCTTTCTGGTATTTGTTGCAGATTGTTATGAGAGATGATGACGGAATGGCTATGAGCAACGATGATGATCATGAAATCTCCATGGGCTGGATGTTTAGGATGGAAGGGCGTCTAGGCTTTTTGTCCGGCGTTGGCCAATTTACTTACACCTTGACGGAGTTAGAGTTGGGTGGTGTTTTCTCAGGCGCTGTGTGTATGGAAGAGCGTGAACAGCACAATCTGGGGATTAGAATCTTTCCTGTGTTCCTGCTATCGATGTACAGTATCGAGTCTGGATCTACCTTAAGTCACTTTTGTCGAATTGCAGTTTACTGGTTCGAATAACATGATGGTATTCCCATCGGAGGTGGAGATGTACAACCTGCCTAAGGAGAACACTCTTTACCCTATCATTCCATCCTAGAAGACAGTACATCCCATAGGAACCCCAATATTCTTCCATCAAGCTCATTGAAATTTTGATGTTAGCGGCCTAAAGAGAAAAAGCCTGATAGCTTGAACTCTTCAAAAACTAGTAGTAAGGATAACCAGCTATACACGGTTATAGTTGTTTACCTAGAGGATACCGACATATAAACTTGACTCTGATATAGGAATTCTACGAAAAACTTAGGCTAGACCGAAGGTAAAAGTAAAACAGGAAGAAAAAAGATGAAAATAGATAGCATATTAGAATTAGACCCAAACCAGATAAATCATCTGGGAGAAGCGGCGGAAACAATTAGTTATCTTTTTTTTGGGGGGGGGGGGAATACATGATGTTCGGGAGGGGCGTGAGGTATGTGGTACAGTACACTACAAATGAGTCTCTGTCCATCAAACAAATTTTGATCCCAGTCAAACATACCTACCATCTATCCATCCCGTATGCCATCCATTGTCAAAATGCCCTGTCAGGAGGGATTAAGTTGACACGCGTGGGGGTGCATGTAAAACAGCAGGCCAATCAAGCTGGCCCACGACGCGCCGAAGTGTCCGATTCAGCTTCAAACTTACCGTACAAGGTAGTGGACCTCACTTACTCACTCCGCCCCTTTAAAAGAGGGAAAGCCAGCTGCGGATTTCCCCCTCCGGCCCCTCTTCTTCCCCACTTTGCAAGTGTCTCTCCCATATTCTGTTCGTGTACTGCCCATGAAAATGTTACACAGCGATGGTCGACTACGGCAATGATTCAAGCGACCCGAATCCGAGGCGGTTCAAGTGGCATTTGCGTAGCGTCTGGAAGCGCTCCCCATCGCAGCAAGATCGGACGGATGCGACGAAACAGCCCACATCCAGTGCCGGCCACGGTACCCTGCCCACGGCCCCTGCATCGTTGGTCGCGCTTCATCCGAAGAAGAATCCCACCGCCCAGCATCCAACCAAAAAGGTCCCCGGGGTGTCCCTCGATGGGCTCTGGGCGGCGGCATATAAAGAGCTTGCTGAGGATCCACATAACGCCAAGCTCGTGACGGCCTACGAGAAATGCCTGGCCCAGCAGGGCGCTACCTCGCGAGATGTCTGCGAGACGGACATCGTTCCTCGGCTGCGGTCGGTGATCGAAAGCCGCCTTGAGGAGATCGAGCACTCCCGGGTCAGGTTCACCCTGGCGGGGAGGGAGATCGTCGTCAACCAACAGGTACGCAGGGTGGCCGACAAGATCTTGTCGGTGAAGGAATTCGTCACGACGGCCGTGAGCGCCGAGCCGCATGCTGCCTTGGCCTGGGCCGGGGCGTTGGTGCTCTTGAATCCGGTCACGAACTTTTTCGCCCAGGATGCCAGGGCTATGGACGGATTCGAGTATATCGCGCTGATCCTCGCTCGGTATGGTGTCGTCCAGCGTGACTGGAGCGGCTTGTATTCTGCGGCAAGGCAATCCGAACAATTGGGGGACGGTCGGGAGCTGGAAACGCTGGGGCTTTCGGTCAGGGAACAGATGGTGAAGATGTACAAGGCTATTATTCGCTACCAAATCAGCCTTGCGCGGCACTATGAGCAGCTTGGATTGGTGCGGTTTCTAGAAGATGTTGCAGCCCCCCAGGACTGGGCGGGGATGCTCCAGGAGATCAAGGACATTGAGATGTCCGTCACGCAGCATCTCAGTATAATGAGTACGTCGACCTTGGCGCAGATTGATGGAACCTTGGAGATGCTCCAAGGGAAGATGGGGGCCTCATATGAGGTGATGAATGAGGTTCGAGATAATACACTGGTAAGGTGATCAATTTAATCTACGACCTGCGGGGTTGGATCTATGACTGACAAATCGCAAAGACTAATAAATACCTACAATTCGTCCAAATGCTCGCGCCCAGAATTGCACCGCAAGCCAGATTAGATTCCTTTGAGAGTCAGTACAAGACCGAATGCTTCGAGGGCACCCAGATCGAGGTGCTCGAACAAATCCATGCCTGGGTTGTATCGTCTGGGCCCGACCATATGTATTGGCTCCGAGGAATGGCCGGGACCGGCAAATCCACCATCGCACGAACCATCGCGACTCAATGCCGCCATCGGAAATTCCTCCCCGAGACAATCTGTCTTGGAGGAACCTTCTTCTTCGACCAGAATCAAGGCGAGCTAAGTACCGCTCCGTACCTGTTCCCTACACTCTGTACGGCAATTGCGGATTGTCTACCAGAGATCCGATCGGAAATCTACGAAGTCAACAAAGACCATTCGAACATCTCGTACGAGTCGCTCAGCAAGCAGTGGACGAACCTGATTCTCGCGCCCTTCTTGAGACTGGAGAAGCAGAACCGACTACCAGCAATGACGCTGGTTGTGGTCATAGATGGACTCGATGAGTGCAAGTCTGGCCGTGATGGAGATAACATCGGCACCATCTTGAACCTCATCACCGAGGCTTCTCGACTGAGCTCCATCCGGCTGAAATTCCTTCTGACCAGCCGGCCAGAGAGTCACATCCTTTCACGCTTTGAGGCTATCTCTCGATCGTCAACTTGCCTACAGATCAGCGAACTCCACAAGATAGAACCATCTACAGGGATCGATGTTCCAGACGATGACATCACGAAGTTCCTGCGGACCAAGACTCGAGAGATCACGAAAAGACACTTGGAGCTTAAACCCGACTGGCCTGGCGAGGAGAGGCTCGATGAGCTTAAACGCAAAGTTGATGGGTTGTGGATCTATGCCGCCACCGCCTGTTTGTTCATCGGCGACGAGAAGATCAAGTATGCGGATACTGTTGAGAAGCGGTTGAATAACCTTTTGCGGGGAAGTGGTGGTGTGACGACTCCCCAAGGCACCCTCGACGAGTTGTACCTGAGGATCTTGCAGAGCTCAGTCATGCAGTCGGTTGTTCCAGAAGAAGTCGAGGGCATTCGCTCCTTATTTCAAAGCATTGTCGGGACCATCGTCGTCCTCCGCCATCCCCTTTCCACCAATGCACTCAGCGCCCTTTCTACGATCCCAGTTCGTGATATTAAGACCCAGGTGAACCAACTTGGCTCAGTCATATCGATGGGCAAAGACCAAGGCTCACCTATCCGGCTTGCTCATTTGTCCTTCAAAGAATTCCTTGTCGACAGCACGAGGTGCACCGATAAGAACTTCCAGATCTCCAGAGAAGAGAGGCATGCTGCTTTGTTGCAGAACTGCCTCGATACGCTGGAGAGTACGTTGCAGCAGGATATCTGCGGCTTTGCGGACTACGCGATTCTCCAAGAGAATATCCCGGCCGAACACGTCGCGAGGTGTCTGCCAGATCATGTCCAGTATTCTTGTCTGTACTGGGTTGAGCATCTGCAGTTGGCGAATGATCCTCTCATTGACAATGGACGGGTCCATAGATTTCTGAAAAAGCACACCTTGAACTGGCTTGAGGCCTTGAGTATTCTGGGGCGGATGTACGAGGGCACCCATGCCGTGATTATGCTTTCCGATCATGCGATGAGATTGCAGGTAAGCCCGGTCGCAAAACTCGACCTTTCGAGTTCGGTGTGTAGACTAGGTACTGACTGACCTTTGGTTTTATTTTTTTTTATAGGCTGATGGGTCATCTGCAATGCGGGAGTTGGTTTTCGACATAAGACGCTTTGTGCTCAATTGCCGATCAACCATCGAGTACGCACCTCTGCAGATCTACCAGTCTGCTCTGATTTTCTGCCCCGAGCAAAGTCTTGTCAGAAGGCAATACCAGAGTCTAATTGACCAATGGCTCATTGGTGCGCCGATATCAGGGACATCCTGGAGCCCTCTACTGCTCACTCTTGAAAATCGATCCAGAAGTTCACTTCACGTTTTCGATGTTGCGCTGTCACCTGATGGGAGCATCATCGCGTCTGACTCGGCGCTCTGGAATACAGCTACGGGGGTTTTGCTCAAGGTACTAGAGCCCCTGGGAGGGCCATGCAAGGTTGCATTTTCTCTGGACGGGAACTCCGTGATGTCTTTATCTTGCCAGGGTCACGTACGAATCTGGGATGTCTTCTCGGGACGCCTGATCAAGGAAGTGAGAAGTTCTCTGGATGATCATTGGGGTCAATATCTCCATTCCTTTTCCCCTGATAAGGCCTACACTGTTTCCTGTGGGACAACGGTTGAAATCCTGAACCTTGACAAGGGGGAGCTTGTGAAAGCATTCAAACCACACCCCAGTGAGGTTGTATATATGGTCTTCTCACCCAACAGCGAGCTTTTAGCAACTACTTCGACCGAAGGGCAGATTCGAGTATGGGAAGTTGCCACTGGTGAAATGCGGCATGATCTGAGAACCGGGGATGGGTTGCAAACAGCCGTGGAGTGTGCAGACTTCTGCCAGAAGAGCGAAATGATCGGGGCTGGATCCGGTGGGACTATTTCCATCTGGAGCGTGGCCACCGGAGAATTACTCCAACGATTCGCCGCAGACCTAGATGGTATTCAGTGCGTCACCTTTTCGCCAGTCACGAATCGGCTGGTTGTCACTGGCAGGTCTAATACCAGCCCCACAGTTCAAGTCTGGAATTGGTCTTCTGGTGAAGTCCTCCGAACAATCCACACCGACTGCGCTGGCCTCGTTCGGTTCTCCTCGGACGGGAGGCTTTTCACGTTTGTGCCCAAGCCCAAGGGACCCAACATGGCATTGTATCCCGGAAAGCCGGTCCAAGTGTGGGATGCGACAACGGGACAATTGGTCGCATGTCTCGAAAACCATACGTTGTCTCTGGGATGTGCGGTCTTCGCCGAGAACAAGCCCCTGTTGGTCTCTGGGCATGAGACCGTCCGCCTGTGGGATCTTTCGTGTCAGCCGGTGGAGCATGATCAACATGAACAGCCTGCCGGCCGAGCCGTCCACTGCACGTACCTGTCCCCTGATCACAGGACGGCCGTGACGTTTGGGGAGAAGTTTTGTGTCTGGGACCTCCGGACCGCTACTCTGAGGCACCAGGCCGCCTACGAGCATTCCGACCGGGTGTTCTTTTCGCCCGATGGCAAGCTCTTCGTCAACTCTACCGTCGGCCAGGCCGCTGCTGTCCAGGACCTGCGCAGCGGAGAAGTCATTCTTGCGCTGGGGGAGGATTCCGGCCAACATTATGCATTCAGCGCAAACGGCACCCTGCTGGCTGGAACCGTGGCCGAGGCTGGCGCGCGGGTGCACATCTGGGGGCTGGAATCCCAGCGCTTGTTGCACGCTCTCGACGTTCATGGGACTGCTGATCCCACGTCCCAGGCAGTCACAACCTGCGTGGCCCTCTCGCCCAGCGGACGATTCCTGGCGGTTGCCATCCGCCGCTACCGATGCCGACGGATCGTCGTGAGCTCCGACGACCAGGCTCTCCCCGAGCCGGAAGAATACGTACCCGAATCATCTCAGCTGCATATTTCGATCTGGGAGGTGAGCGCCGGAACGCGGCACCTGACCGTGCCGGTATCGGACTGGCACGTAGACCGCCTGCGGGAAGAAGATGATGATCACGATGAGGCAAGCAGGGTGGAAGGTCCGTACGAACGAGACTGGGGATCGGTGCAGTGGGAGATGGAGCAAACGACCGCGTGTAAACATCTCACGTGGTCGCCCGATGGCACGATCCTGGCGGCGCTCTACGATCACGGCCAGAAGATCTCGGCCTGGGAGTTCCCGGACGGGAACCAGCTGTATTCTTCGATTCCCGTGCCGGCGTGGACGGACACGCTCGTCTTCTCCCCCCGGTCGGGCGAGTTTGTGGCGTCGACTATGGAGGAGGTGCAACTCTGGAACGCGCGCACCGGCCAACTGATCGGTGCTCGCGAGGTGCCTGGAAGCCGGCACGCCTTGCGGTTCTCGTCGGACGGCGCAACGATCCGCACCGAAGCCGGTCGCCTCGACGTGCGGTCGTTCTTCGTCCCGGAGCAGGAGCACTCGCGGAGGCGGGATCTCCGGGTCGGTGATTGGATTGTTCGGGGGTCGCGGAATGTGCTCTTTCTGCCACATGACTATCGAACTGAACGGGTCGTTGTGACCGATCATCTGGTGGTATTGGGGCACCACTCCGGCCGGGTGAGCTTTCTCCGACTACCTGATGCTTGCTAATATTGTGGAAATCATACTTTGTGTTCTTGGAGGGAGGCAATCCAGCATAGATACTAGAGCTATAGCGTACGATAAGAGAGCGGGCGAGTCGATAAGTATAGGGCAGCCATAGATTTTGTAAGCGAGTGGATGAAGCGCAGGCATGGAGCTATATGGAACGAATTCTTGATTAGTTGGCGGTTGGTTGGACTAGCCAAGTTCTCTGCGTGTAAACAAGCCCGGTGAACTCCGGCCTTCGGATCACGTGGCCGGATCAACTGCAGAAGTATGAGATGATGCGGTGTTATCCTCTTCCCCCGGTCGGTCAATCTACCCAGTCAAGAACATCGTCAACGATAAGGGACCACGAGCCTCGGAGGATAGTAGACGTCCGAGAGAGAAGAGGGCTTGGTAGATAGATGGAGGAGGAGGAGATAATGGGAATGAGCGATCTAGAGAGTGATTCAAGGGCAAAAAGAGACAGAGAACAGTTTGAAGAAAAAACGGAAAAAAAAGTGGAAGAGAGAAGGTAAACCCGAGACAGCTTGAAGACAAGCACGAGTCACGACCCCCTCCTCGCAATCAGAATTTGCCCATGCAATGGCACGTCTCGTCTCAAACTCTGCTTTTTCTCGAATCAGACCTTATGCTCTCGATCAGTTGCTTAATCTGTGACGAAAGCAAAAGCAAGTTTCATCGTCTTCGTTATCGTTCCTCTCAGTTCTAGCTTTCATTTCGATGATCCAATTCGAGTTAAGTGGGGGCATTTTCCTTCTCCGTCCAGGCCTATCAAAAAAGAAGGAGTAGAGCTGATTTGGTTTCTGGATCGCCTGTGTGACGGTGATTTATACGTAGTAACATAGTCACATAGTAACTGACTTGCGAGGTTGAAGTATACCCACCCAGACTGTAGTTTATCATCTTGCCGCTCCAGTCGCCGCCCAAGGCCACTCCCATTGCTTAGACGTCGTGGGGTGGGTAGTCCCATAGCTTATCGACAAATTATAGCTATCAGCGACGGTTTTTTAAGGCAGTATATCCTGTTCCTGCAGAGTGAGGGTGTTCTTGCTTTATTGCTTTCGCATCGATGGTGCGGAGGCGAGGGTGGCAGTGGCAATTGTATGATATCCCTGTTGCTGTACCTACAGGTTCTGTTCGTTCTCTTCTAATTGCGTGGGATAGGGGCTTGGATGGTATCTAGTCCAGTTCATACCGTGACCTAGTATGAGGCAGCTAGCAAAGTATGTCTAGCACAGTTCCCAATGGCGCAGTAGCAGTACCCTACCAGTAGCCTTGGCGAATTAGTTATATTCCCTGAAAAGGCGATGAGATAACAGCCAACCGACCACTGCCATCTTTTCTCGAAACACCACGAGATGTCAAGGATACGCAACCCCCGACTCCAACCCAACCCCTCATGCAGAACGCTCACCTCGAATCAAGAGCAGACCGTCCAACCAGAACAGAAACCATTGCCCTTGTCCCAGGAGAACAGGAGAACAAGAGAACAAGAGACCCAAACCCCGAGCCACAAACCCATTGGAACGAATCCTGCCCCGACAAGTCGAGCATCACTTTCACCGTGACTAGCCCAACGCTCACAGCATTCCAGACCAGTAACACGGCAGTCACGATCTCACCCGGTCTGTACCTATGTACTGTACCTATTAAATAAGTAAGGCAGTGTGTGTGTGTATCTATGCAGTACGCAGTACGCAAGAGAAAGTGAACACTCAGGTCGGATTGTCGACAAGGCGACGTCAACATCGACATGGACATCACCAGATCAGATCAGATCGCATCCCCCTAAGCCCTAGCCTCATGATCTACACCCCCCCCCCCCAACAAAAAAAGACAGAGGGGGTGGGTGGTTCAGCAGTCAGGGATCTATCTATGTCTCTCGCCTCGACCGTTGGAAAGTCTAGTCTCAGACTGATTCCAACCGTTGCGCGCCGCCACCCACCCCCCCAACCTCACCCTTACCTAAATGAAGGATAAACACTTCTTCAGATCGCATCACTACAGATCTGCAAGGAGCCCGTTGACGTTGACCGGTTGACCGGTTGAGGACCGCATGATCAAACCATACACACACACACACAACACACAACACACAACACACAATAGACATACCGTATCCACGGATGGGAGCATGAGCGCATGCATTGCCTGGAAAGGGAAAGGGAATTGAACCAAAGAAGAAGAAGATGCAACAGAGGAAAGGGTTCATTAACCTTCCAGATCCCAAATCAGTCAGTATGACAGCTGCGTTGCTCCAAGGACACTCGAGCAGAACAGCTTTGTAACAAGAGGATCCAAAGTCCTGTCTGCCATCGGAGATCCCCCTTTAGAACAAACCGATAGAAAAGATCATAAAACCAACCCCCCTCCCAACCTTCGATCTTGCCCACTCTGCCCGTCATTCTTTTCTGATTCTCTTCGAGTCTTCTCCTTACCCCCCTAAAGGTTGCACAACAACGCATCCAGCGGCTACATGCAGATCACCTCGGAAAGAGCCACGAATCGGGGATTATAAGGCCAAAATGTCATCGACGGCAGCAGCAGCAGCAAGAAGCTCTCGCCCCCCTATACCAGCGGCGAAAGAAGGAAGCTGCTGCTGCTGTGGTGGTGGTGCTCGTCCACGACCAAAGAACGTAAGCCAGGGTTTTCACTGCTTTGATGGGAGTAGCCGTGAAGCTACACACCACACACACACCTGTTTCTGTAACCTTGAAAGACCCTTTTTCCCCCTATTTTTACCCCAGAAAATACCCAAAGTCCCGACAAGGTCAACCGAAATCGCCTCCTGTCACTTGCTGGGACACCTAGCCCAGAAATGAACGACATTCCTCTCAGGGACAGAACATGCAACATCATTCCCTCTGGCAGAAAGCCCTATTTCTTTTTTTGGCGGGTAAACTGGGATCAATCGGTGTAACAAACACGTCGCATGGCCTTTTTTTTTTTGGTTGAATTTCCCTCCTCGGAGGTATGATGCTCGTGTTGGAAGAAGACGGGGTCAAACTTCGGTGAGCGTTCGTTATATGATGGAATGAAGAGAAATTTCCGGCGGCCCACTACATATGCAAGAACCGCATCAGCAACAGGACAATGACAGAGGGAGTAAAAAGAATGGCCTGAGCACCTTCCCTCCCGTCGCTGCCATCGATCCGGATCAAGGCTGTGGAGGTAGTTTTCTTCGGAAGAAAGGGAAGGAAAGGCTGCGCTTTCAGGCACAATCATGGAAAAGCCCAAGGCACTTTGCAGCAGGGTAATTGAAACCCACGCCTCCCGCTCGCCCTCCTCTTCCTCCTCCTTCTGCCCCAATATCTTCTCCCCTAGACCGGCCGACGATAGGCTGCGCTGGTGCCATCTTGACGGTTTCACAACTCCATCCCAAACAGGAATCGTCGATACCATCATCCGTTTCGGGGATTGGCCCCCCTCGGGCAACAATCACGAGATACGGACACGATTGGGACTGGGCACGAGTGAATCTCGAACACCTCATCAGACTCATCCTAGAGGCGAGAAGTTTATAGAACCAAAATAATCAAAAAAAAGAAAAAAAAAAAAAAACAGAGATGCTGGCTTGTCTGTGTCGTCTTTTAGGCCCTTTTTTCCTTTCTTTCCTCGTCCGTGTTGGCAGCAGGTGCATCTGATGGTCCTCGTTTGGTATCACCGTGGTCCCTGTCACAGGAGAAACAGACAACTGGGGAATATTGGGATCTGGGAGGCAACAGATTGAGATAAAGACCAAGGAAACTCCTTGACCTCCATTGAAGAATTGCTCTCGAGCCCCCAAATCCAGACGTTCCTCTTGCCGCCATCCCATCAGGAAACCCATCAGAAACAGAAGCTTTCTCTCTCACACAAACCCTTTGGGCCGCCGTCGTCTCCCTCTCTTCTTTATATACCTGGGAAACATCAAGAGTGACTTCCACTACTTGACACAACGAAAACCCCTCATCTGACAACGCTCGATTGAACTTCATTGGCTTCTTGCTGCCCTTGGGCCTCCTTTCACCACTTGATCCTCTGTGATACTCTTCTCCTCTCACTGTCTTTCTCTGCCGCTTCTCCACCTCTGTCTCTGGATAGCAAGCCGGCCTGCCATGCCACCCAAGGGCCTTTACCACCCAGCTGCTCTCCCCGAAGCACGCGGGCTGAAGTATGACGAGTCCGACATGGCTCTCTTCCACGCCAAGCTCTCCTATCACTCCACTATCGAAGCCCGCATGGCATCCAAGGACTCCAATCTAGCATCAATCTCGGATGCCCAAGCGCGGATCCTCAAGCGCTGGGAGATGCTGAAACAGGTGGAGAAAGAGATGGCAGACAAGGGCAAGTCTCTGTCTCCCGCGGAAAGAAAGCAGCTCGCACAATACGAGTGGCGGTATAAACGACTGGAGGAGGTGGCGACCCAGAGCACTAGCTGATTGGAAAACAAAGAAATAACGATGAGAGAAAAACAAACCCCCATGAAATAAGGTCGCGCGCCGAAAGTGGGGAAAGATAGCATCACTGGCGTTGGTTTAGATGTGGATTCGAACAACGCACTGGTGTCAAGCTCAATTGCAAGTGAAGAGTGTGCGCGTTGTGCCCTAAAAGTAAATCCGGGAGTCGTTTCGGTCTCCTTGGTTTGGGTTTTGATTCTGTTATGTCCTTTCTTTTGGGAACTCTCCCCTCTCATTCTGTTTGTATGAGTTGAATGAAGGTTTTATCATCGGTCCCACCTCTGCTTCAAATGTGATGGAAGCTGCTCATGCTTCCTGAGTGACTGCAATGACCTCACCTTCCATAGTAAGTACACCCGTGAAGGTAGGGTGTCTCTCCTCCCTCGAGAAGCTCCCACATAGTTCATGAGGCGACAAAAAAGAAAAGAAAGAAAAAATAAAATATATTAAATCCTCGCGACGTCACCAATGTAACATAGCCTCTTCGAGTCGAACACAGCATCTTGCACTTACACTGTAAGTGTAACCAAGGAGGCGAAGCGGCCTCCCCCGCCCCGTTGTAAA